TTGCCTACCGTATCCTTTGCAGGTGGTCCTGATGCGACCGTTGGTGCGTCGAACCGATTCGGATCTGCACAAGCTGATCGCCGATGTCGATCCTCTGATTGCACGCGACCTTGGTCCACCAAGAAAGCTACCGCTAAACGGTGACAAGAAACGCGTTCGTTTCGAGGACAACTGATCCTTTTAAGCCCCTTTTGGGCGGAGTTCCTCAAATTTGTGTCCTCCATTTGTTGTACTACGTGTTCGAATCCCGTTGTTGATATGGTCGAGTATTCGTTGATATGTCCCTGATTACCATAAATCCCTCTGCTTTGCTACGGACATTTAAGCCCAATCCAGGAGCTGCACGGGCTCCCCGTCGAGGGAACCCGTGCTCGTTTCCTGTTTTCAAGTGTCTTGCTCTGTCGAGTTCATGTTTATTTAGCCGCCGAAATTGTGCGCGTTTTTAATATACGGATTGATTTACCCATATTTTTTATACCAGTTGTAGATAGTTTTATCCCAAATTTACCCTTACAAATATTTTTACTAATAATTAAATTCATTATAAGTATGCATCATGGTATTTGATAACCTTCCAGGAATTGTTATTATTAATATTATTTAAACACAAAACTCGGGTCGAGAGCTTTTGATCTACCGTCTGGACCCAGTCACCCTTCCCTCCTGCCCAACCCAGTCTTACTCTCATCAAAAAATTGTAATCGCTCCGTTTTTTACTCAGTTCTTATGTAATCACCAGGCAGCAACCCTCAGTAAATTGTAACCCAAAACCCATTTTTTGTATCTTATTCAAATTGTTTGATGTTTTGTTAAGCAGGCTTGTTTGTAATGAATTTTGTCAAATATGTTCTGTTTCATCGAAATTGTGTATAAAATCGATATGGTGCACATCTGGGAACCAGCAGAAGACCTCAGCAAATGCACGGCGCATTCCGGAGGATCCAGTAGTTCCACGGTTTGCTAACGAAGGAAAAATCTCGCTTAAGCCAACCAAGCAAAAATCTAAATTTAAATTCGACCTGTGCCTTAGGTGTTCCTCCCTTGTCACCTAAGGCACAGGTCGCAATTATATCCCTGGAGAAATTCTTCAGAGAAATCCTCCCAGGAAAAATCATAGCTTCTATCTCACCCATAAATCACTGGCTTGAGACCCATCGTTCACGATAAGAACGAAAAGAACAAAAAATTGCGTTTGTTTGGTAAGAATTCGAAAAACAAGGAAAACTGTTACGCGTTCAAATTCCCGCCGGACATCTGTCACAAATGCTAGCGGCGGGAAGGCGGACTTTTTTCATGTCCCGCCTTTGACTCCGTGCGACCTACCTTCAACTGTTCATAGAGTGTGGTTTTGAGAATGAATGGAGAGCGAATGCCTGGAGCATCATAATTTCTCCTTAGAAATGTTAATGAATAGCGTGCTCAATGCGGAATAACACCTCAGCTTAGAGTGGGAGGAATAAATGAAAGAGTTCCCAGCACGAGGAATGTAACACAATGCATGATTAATGCTAAGGGGTAAGGCTTTCGACGTCATTAACACATTGCTGCCCGCGTGCACTGCGGGGTATGAACGCAGAAACTCCCGCATTGACCAACTACTTTCTGATGTGCGCCATGTATTCTACCTCCATTCAGCATCGCTGTGAAGTTTGAATGCGTGTTTGGACTGTACACTAACTTGTAGGGATCAATCGATGAAAATTTTTCATTGTGTCAGGTTGTCAATTCGAATACCATTAAGCTGGCGGTCTAGCACATGGAAGGGTTGGCTGATCTGACTGTGAGCAAATTCTT